ATTATATTCTTAATTGGCAGATTGTAATTGCACATATTTATGGGGGTACTATGTGTATATAATATATATGTGATCAAATCAGTGCATTTTGTGTGACCATAACCTCCTGTGCTTGTCATTTTATTGTTGTAAAAGCATTCAAAATCTCCTCTTCTGGCTGTTTTGTCATATACAATACCTACCATTAACCAAGTCATCCTACTGTGTGGTAGAACACCAGCATTTTGTTCCTCGTGTCTAACTGTAACTCTACCAACCTCACCTCTTTCTTTCCTCCTCCTCCCCTCCCCAGCCTCTGGAAACTGCTGTTTTCTCTCTTTCCATGAGATCAACTATTTAAAAAATTTTGATGACTCCTTCTATGGGTGAGATCATGTGAAATTTGTCTGTGTCTGGCTTATTTCACTTAACTTCATGTCTGCCAGCTCCATCCGCATTGTCATTGACAAGATCACATTCTCTTATGGCTGAATAGTATTTCATCGTGTAGAGACCACGTGTTATTCATTCACCTGTCAGTTTTCTTTATTGTTTTCATTTTAAATTACTGTGGAACATTTGTCACAATGAGCTAATGTTGATGCACAGCTAGCAGCTACAGTCTTGGTTATTCAGATTGCCTTCATTTTTAGCAAGTATACTTTCCTGTTCCAGGTCCCACATTACATTTAGTCATCATGTTTTTTGAGCTCCTCTGGAATGCGACAACTTCTCAGACTTAAGAACACATTCATAAGTGCTTAGTCTTACCTCTTCCTTTTTGTTTTTGTTAGCCAGCTATATTTAGGTAGTTTTGTTTGTAGAAGTGGAAGTAATTGGGGACAGAGATGGGAAGAAGTAATTAATTCACTTTTCCCTGTCCAATTAGTCAGATGGATTAGCTAACCCACTTTTGGAAAAAAACTTTTAAAAAATCTGTATCAGGAAACAATTAGGAATTTGAGAATGCACTTGATAAAAAATTTCCAGTGTCAGAAAGAATATCACCTTGCGCCTTAATACTGATTTGACTCCATTACAGTGATGAAGATAAGAGTGTTTTTTCACTTATGCATTGACATATTTCAAGGCAATGTCTTACATGTCATTTTTTTGCCTTACAAGATAAAAAGAAGCAGTTTGTGACCATTTTCTATGTAAACAGAGTAGTCTTAGATGTAAGATAAACAAATGTACCAAGGAAATGTATACCTCCCCCAAATGCATTTATTTAAGTGTTCAAGGCAATTCTGAGCCATCTAAACTAATATCACTCCTTTTATGTCTCAAGTAGGAGCTGTTAGAGAAATGGCAATGATTAAAAAGCTTTGTTTTATTTTGTCTTTATAGTTGTGTCCTTCATTTGCAATATTTTAGTTGTTACGAATGATTTCAGGCAGAGTTGTATCTGAAGGCAGTGTTGTGAAATCTTACTTTACAACTCAGAAGAAAAGTCCTGACGTAAAATATTCAGGGCATTTAACTTTCTAATAGGCGGGACAATTGGGCACCAAAGAACAAGCAACTTCTCATTTTTATTTATAATTTTGCACTTAATCTTAAGGCAGTGCCAACTATTACGTTAGGTTTCTTTTCCATACATGGCTCAGATTTACAAGCATAAACAATTTCAATAATATAAAAAATGTTTAGACGCTCCCTTAATTTCACTCTAGAGAAATTTATTCTAGACATCACCTTCTCTTTAAGTCCCATAAAATCAGGTCTCTGGAGGCTGGCTATTCCTGAATTGAGAATGCTTCTCTGGGCTGCCATGAAAGTTTTCTGATGAGTGAATACATTGAATGAGGAATTGGGTGCTGGCTGCCTCTGTGTATCCTATCTGATTGTTCATTCAGTGACTCACTATTTAGCAAGTATGTGCAGGATGCTACACTTGGTGTGGGGATATAGTGATGACAGACATGATGTGTGCCTTGTGGTGACACATTTTAGCAGGGAGCCATGTATGTGTGGACAGACAGAAGGGAAAATGATAAGGCTTACAGTGACGTTCAAAATAGAGTAGTGCAGACAGGGGAGCGTATAGGATGGAACAACTGTGTTCTCAGTGGGTACTTGCAAACTGGCTGATTTGGGAATCGGGAATAGAAACTACCAGTAGGGAACAGGAAACAGCTCAGGCTGTGCAGCAACCCTGGACCAGAACATGGCTGAAATGCATTCCTGGGGAGAAAACTGTGCCTACATCATTGGAGGCATGCTTACACATATGCTCTCGTTTCTATATTCCATCGGATGACAGAACAGAATTGTGTGGGGAAACGTTTGAAACAGTTAAAGGAAGAAACTCCGGGGAATCATATTGATGATATTTACCTCAGACTTTTTGTTTTTGTTTTGTTTTGTTTTTAATTGTGAAGTTGTGGGGTACAGTTAAGGGTTAGGTATACAATTGCGTTTCATTCAGGCACCCTGTTGATATGGGGTGTTTCCCCGTTCCCAGACAGATATTTGCTACTGTTAATCCCATCTCCCTCCCCCCACCATAGTTTCCCAGTTCGGTCAGTCATTTTCGTATAGTATTGCATTGGATGTTTAAGGTTCATTATATGAGTGAGAACATGTGATACTCGGATCTTTGTTTCTGTGAGAGGTCACTCAGTATTATAGACTCTAGTTCCATCCAGGTTACTGCGAAATTCATGATTTTGTTCTTTTATATGGCTGCGAAGTATTCCTGCTGGAGAGGGTGTGGTGAAAAGGGAACACTTCTACACTGTTGGTGGGAGTGTAAACTAGTGCAACCTCTGTGGAAAGCAGTGTGGCGATTCTTAAAAGCTCTAAATACCAACCTCCCATATGACTCCGCAATACCCCTACTGGGAATATATCCTGAAGAACACAAATCACTCTATAAAAAAGATACCTGCACACGCATGTTTATCGCAGCATTGTTCACAATAGCAAGAACCTTGAAACAGCCATGCTGCCCGTCAAAAGAGGACTGGATTAAAAAAAATGTGGTACATATACACAATGGAATACTACCTCAGACTTTTTACCTCTTACTCACTGAAACCATCCAGCTCTTACAAAAGCTATTTTAGGTTGATTTTTTTTTTAATGAAAATCTCATTTAAAAAAATTCAAATGAAGTCAGAATTTCAAATAGAAGAGTACAAAGAGTATGTGCAATTTGATAGTGTTTTAATTATTTTTGGTTTTTAGCTATATATTTTTCAAAGGTGTTTTTATTTGATAATAAAGTTTCTTGGTGTCTTGAAATATACTTCTAAAATCAGTATCACAGCTGTATCCCTAAATAAGTTAATTTCTTACTCAGATTCCTGATGACAAATACAGTCCATAAATGATGGACATCTAATTTCGGATGCAAGCCAGTACTTAAAACAATCAAATTTTGAAAAATTGTCTTGCATCTGAAAGCGAGCCTATAATGTTTAGATGGGGGCTTAGAACTTCCTATATAATTTGGTACCAGAGTCCTAGTAGTATCAGCAGCAGACTTGATCTTAAGGTCTGGTATGGCTCCACAGCTGGATCAAACCTGGGGAAAGCACTTCAGCAGGTGCCAGGATAATCAAGTGAAGATGACTCACTGGGGGAAGTGCTATGTAGACCTCCAAGGCCACTCATACAACAGAGGCTAACAAAGTGGTCTTAGAGACTGGACTCAGCTGCAATGACCGGATGATAGAGAAGCATGCTAGCTTGCCAAGGCTGATAAAACTAGAGAGTGGGCAACATTTACTGCTGGTGAGATTCTGTCTTCTCTATGAAAATCGATTTCCCTCTCTCCGTGATATTTTCTAATGATCTGACATGCTCATTTGTTGATCCTCTCTCATATATCCCATTCCTATTAATTCTTGTAAAGTATTAACTGAATCTAAAATGTCAGACCCCAATTTCCTTTACAACTTCTTAGAAAATAATGACTCATTTATTTTAGTGTAAACTCCCAGGAGAAAAAAATGCATAATTGTTCCACACATATTTTCTCTTACATTCTTTTCTTTTTCATTTTTAAAATAGCAAATATTTTATGATATCCTTTTAAGCATACAGTAAATAGAAAACTAGCACAATAAACATCCATATACCCATATACCCAGTTAGACTCATGAACATTTTGCCATCTATGCTTCACACACATACATTCTGGCAAACCATTTTAAGAGACATGATAGCACTTCAATCCTAAATACTTCAGTATGCAAATTAAGACATTCTCATAAACTACCACACCCTTCTCACAACTCACAAAATTAGCAATATTTATCTAATATCATTCAAAATCTAGTCCACATACAAATTTTCTCAACCCCTCCACCCTCCAAGTCTTTTACAAATGTCTTTTCCAATCAGGGTCCAATCAAAGATTCCACATTGCATTTGGTTATTCTGTCTCTTAATGTAACTTGTATCTGCATAGTTACCCATTCCACCTCCTTGTTTCTTTCCCAACACTGATATTTTGAAAAAATGAGGCCAGTTATCTTCTATAACATTCCATAGTCTGGATGTGTCTGTTCATTTCGTTTCATTAGTGGTATAATTTAACTTGTTACTCTATCCCCTGTATTTCCTACGAATAGGAAATTAGATCTAAAGGCCTGACTAAATTCGAGTCATACTTTCTTGAATTCGAGTCATACTTTCTTGACCAGAACACTTCGCAGGCCATACAATGTGCAGTACAGTATGCACAGGTCACACTGCATTATTAATCAAAACACATGTCACATGTCATCAGATCCTAAGGATCTTGTTACCGTGAAAGTATGTGTTTCTACACAACCAACCAGTAAGTATCTGGTGAGACAATACTATGACACCATGAGAATTCTAGTACAAATGTAGATCAATCTTTTATCAAATAGTTCTGGCATCAAAATGTCTTTATATTGCTTTATATTAACAATTCAACTTTTTAACATTTCAATTTTTTAAATGTTCAAAATCATTGTTTTCCCCCAAACCATCAGGTTTATACAAAAGCAAGATACACTGGTTAATGGTGGCACACTTACTCCTTAACTGGAATGTGAGCACCTTCCTTCTTTTTGACTTTGTCTGAAACCTATATAATAGCCAGTATGATAGCTGCTCATGCACCAAGAGATTAAATTACTTCCCAAAGCATCAGCATCATCAAGACAATCTGGACATATGGGAGGTGGTGGGGGAATTATTGGTGGTTCAGAAGGAGATAGAGGCAGCCAGCATGACAGGAAGAGAGGTGGTGATGGTGGTGGGCCATTGAATTTTAGACCTGGCTTTCCTGGTCCCAGGCCTAACCCAGGCATGGGGGGTGGTGGAGGGAGAAAAGAGTTCCATGGAATAGTTTTTGACTTGATGTTATCTGGCTTATTTCCAGGAGACTTGGCGTTCTCACTTTTATCTGTTGAAACTTGACTTTCATTTTCATTTTCTTGAGCATTCTGTTCGATGTTATTAGTTACTCCAGAGGTTGGGGAAAGTAGATCAGACAGGTTTTGGTCCTCCCTATTTCCATATCCAGTATAAACCATAACACAGGTTTCTCTCTTAAAGTCAACTGAAGCAATGGTATGGGTAAATGCAGCTGTCTTCTGACCAAATGGCAGAACATCTGTCACCAACTTTCCACTGTTTCAAGGGAGCTGCAGTATTCCTTTTTTGGCTTTTATTCTTAGCAGGTTTTTTTTAAAGGTGTGTTTTTTGACTTATCTGAAGTTTCACTCATAAATGTCACCATTCTTTAGAGCATGTTTAAATGAAGCCGCAGCTTTATCATAAGCTTTTATCAATGCTGTATTATCCCAAATATCAGAATCATCACTCTGGCCTGTGTGGTAATGGAACAGCACCAAATCCTCCTGCTCTGAGACACCACTGCTGTCCATCACCAACCTTACATTCTTTTCATATCAAAGTGTTAAATAATTATCACTTTTTTATTGAAATATTTTTGGTGATATGGTTATGTTCTGATGGTGTTCAATGTTCTGGCAGTATGGTAATGCTGTTATGGTTGGTAACACTGTGACAGTGTGATAATGTATGACAGTTGGAGATGCTGTGATGGTTGGGGGTGCCACGGCAGTCACGGGTGCCGTGGTGGTCAGGGATAATAGGGTGGTCAGGGATGATGTGATGTTCAGTGATGTGTGATGGTCAGAGATGCTGTGATGGTTGGGGATACCGTGATGGTCAGGGATGTGATGGTCGGGAATACTGTGATGGTCCAAGATGTTGTAATGGTCAAGGATGCTGCAATTGATAGTCAGTGATGATGTGATGATTGGGGATGTTGTGCTTGTCAGGGATGATTGGGTGGCAAAATACTGCATTATGAGTTTGATGCTATGAATGACTAAAATGGCTGGCTATAAATGCCGGGATACTAACCCTGTATGCAACATTCAGATTTATGAGGGTAATAATAATTGGGTTAAAAATTACTTCATGTTGAAATCATCTAATTAATTGCATGGAACATAGATAGTTGCCATCAAGAATAAGATTCTGCAAATGTCCATAAATATAAATGAACATGAGAAAGGCATAGTAATAAGGAGCTAATGGCACAGGTGAATCTTTTCTAAAGCACTTCTTGAAAATTCCAGTCCTGATGAATGACTCTGCCATAGCTCATCTGTATACCAAAACCCCACCGTAAGTCAGTCAATGCCAGTTTAGGAGTACTGCATGTTTTTTATTTGAAATGAGTGTCCCATGCAACTTCTGATTCTGGTGCAATAATTGGCAATTAAAATATATCACCTGTGTATAATCTGTGATTTATTGTGTTAATTTTCTTATAAATAAACCCAAATGTATTCAAATGGTTGAAAATGACACATACTCAAGAAATTCACATGGCCTTATGATATATTTAGATTGAATTAAAAGTCTTCTAACAATGCAATTTTTAAAATTTGTTTATTTCTAATAAAGTTGAAATTACATCTTTTCCTACCATACCTTACAGGTAATTCTGTTTTAATTTTGTAAGCTTGGGGCTTAATGTTTTTCAATAATATATCTTGGTTTTATAAACTCTGTCTCACACACGCATATTTACTATGTCTGTATTGCATCAGAAGCTATGTGCACTTCACATAAGGGACAAATGAAAATGTGGTACATAGCTTCTGAATTTCAGTCGCTTCTTGATAGAAATCCCATGTTCTAGAACTCACACTGTAGGTAATTCTGGTTACTGTCATTCAAACAAACAAAAAAGCAAACAGATGTCCTTCCAATATTAACATAGTAATGTGCACCCTATCAGTCATGCCTCTTCTCAATCCAATAGGCGTCCAGAGATGGGAGAAAGAGCATTGCCAGATTTCCTTGGACCGAAGCCCTGACAGTAGTTACTGGCGCTCATCCAGCTTATCCCACACAGGCCCTGCCTCTTCCCATATTCCCTTGGCTCCATTCTCCTTTCCACCTCACTGACTCCTTGTCCTTTGGCTTTTCCCTCTAGAGTTCAAAACTCAAGCTGTCAGGTCTAATCATGACATCTGCCTACTGTGAATACAAAGGAAAAGGAAATGTCACTGGGGACTGGCATTTCAGTTTGCCACCATGATCCCTTCTCTTAGACCCTGCAGATTAATGTACCATAGAGCAAAATAATGCAAACCACAGCCTTTACTTTATGTTATCGTAAGTTCACCTTGTACATGCACATTATGTCTTGACTTTTAAAGAGATAAAAGAGCTAATGCGATCACCAGCTAAAGTATGAATGTCTTTGCTCATTGTAGGTATTGAAAGGATGCTTAATGAGTTGAAATACTAAACAGACATTATAGGGCATTCGTTGATCAAAAGGATGAACACAGCATGAGACACTTGAGCCAAAAATAGGAACTAAGATGATAAGACAGATCTTATATTGACCTCCAAATAATTATAAGAAGACAGAGCACATGAATGTAATGAATGTAGATCATGTGATATGATACTGAAAGTAAATTTGAGCTATAAAAATGTAGGGTGATGTAGAGTAAAGGAACATAAAAGTTAAAGATGAAATATGACAAAATAACTCAGGAGAGGAGAGTTTAATGAAAGTCATTTTGAGTGTGGGTCTTTGTCCCATGAGACCAGGAATGGTTTCTTTTACTCAGCTTCCATGTTGAGAACAGACCTGTCCTTGCTGATGGAGATGACAATTATGGTTTTGCATTGCTAACTTGTGTTCTGTGTGATCTTTTTTGCACCACTTCTAATAAACTCCATGAGCCATTTTAATGGTGAAATTTTTTTGTCTGTTCATCTGATTTAATATTTTCTATTAATTGAGAAGGGGAAAACATGAGTATTTCTTTCACGTAAGTCTTCTAAGACTACTGTCATATCATTACAACACTTAACTGAGATGAAGATTCGACAGTCCCATGGGGCAGTTTAATGAAATTGTAAACTATCCCCAGTGATCTGTGGGTAAAAGCCCACTGCCTTGTCATCTTGACAGCACACATGCGCCAAGCAGGCAGCAGGAAAGCACACATCTGCCACAGAAGTTTGCTCTTTAAATAAATGGAAGCCTAATGGTTCTGAGTGGCCATCTACTCACATGCCCTTGTGGAACCAGCTATTTTCAGAATTTGTGTTTAATTCTTTGAGCGAATATGTCATTTATTCAGTATCAAAATAAGGTATTTAATGTCAGTTTTAGATCTATTCTAGAATTCCTTATGCTTACTCTACTGAGCCAATGTTTGAAAGAATCAAAAGCTCCTTGCATTGGTTTTCCACTGACTTGGATATGTTCTACTTGGTTCTTGGTACTCCCATTCCAGGCAGTCTCTAAGGTCCCTTTTAATTCTGACATTCTGTGTAGAGGATTGTGTGACTCAGATTGAAGTGGAGTGCGAAAGTGTCTTGTGTACCTCTTCATGTCAGTGGTTCCATATAACAGCATGTGCAAGCACATGCAAACACACATGCAAATGCTTGGAAAACATTCTCACGAAGAAGGTTTTTAGGAGGCATAACTGTCATTTTACAGCAGGAATTGGAAAGCTTTTTTCTGTAAAGGGCCAAAATAGTAAATATTTTATCTTTGAGGACTGTAGGTCTCTATCAAAATGACTCAGTTCTGCCATCATAACTCAAAAGCAGCTATAGACAATATGCAAAAGAATGAGTTTGGTTGGGTTTCCACAAAATTTTAAAGACTACAAATATACAAAGTTTTGATTTGGACAATCCCTAAGAGGCTAAGTTATAGGAGCTACAGATAGTGGTTAAATGTTATAATTAGAAGTACAGCCTCTAGAACAAGAGTACCACTTACAAGCTGTATGACTGTCAGAAGATTGCTTTTTAAATATATTTTAATTTGCTCAGCTGTAAAATGAACATTTGTGTCATCATGCTATTGTGATGATTAAATGAGTAAATATTTCAAAGCACATAGAACAATGGTCCATGCTAAGTGTTTTATTATGGTTATTTAAATAAATGAAAAGCATAATAATGACGATCTTCCTTGAAAAAGATGAACTCATTACAGCAGAAATAATAGTGAGTTTTGAAAACATTATTAAAAATGGGACTTAAATCTTACCTAAATATTAAACCAGGATGAATAGTGAAGAGACTATGTAATGGTTAAGACAAGGAGAATCAGAGCAAGGTCATTAGATGGCATAAAGAAGGACATACAGCTGGAAATAACAGTCACTGGGGACACCAGAAGGAGGGAGCTGGGGGAGGGCAAGAGTTGAAAACCTACCTGTTGAGTACAATATGCACATTAGAAGCCCCACCCCCACCAGTTTGCAATAGGTCCACGTTACAAACATGAGCTTGTGCTCCCAAATCTAAAAAAATAAGCAAGTCCTAGAAACATAAGGAAGAAAATGCCAGGTCTTGTTGAATGACTGAGTTTGTGCGGTGAGGCAGAGTGAGCACGGGATAATTCCTTGATCTCCAAGTTTGGGGCCTCAGGAGTGAGAGGATCACCAATTTTAATACAGAGCACAGAGGTGAGGTATCTGGTGTTGATTATTCAGACACTGGGTCATTCCATTAAGCATTCCTCAAGCTCATCCCCAAGTTGGGCTAGTAGTCTAGTCTTCAGTGGATATTTTAACATTTCATTTCCAAATATGTTATTTCCATGGTCGTCAGTTTACTGTCTTCCTTTCTGAAAAGAATATGACTTCCTTGAAGCTGGAGGAGGAGGGTGATTCTTGGTAAAGGGCCAGGAGAAAGCAGAAGTGTGGTGGCAAGTATAAGTAACTACACTTCACTTTGGTTAGAGATGATAAATGTGGGACTGATCAAGGCATATTAATCTTGGTTTGCATTATGGTGGTGGGGGTTATGACTTGTACTAACTTATGCTTTACACTAACTCACGTTCCTGAGAAAGCACAAAAACACTGCCTTGGTCTCTCTTCTAGGAAGTGAAACAAGATGTGCTGCCACAGAGGGTCAGCTGTATAGTGTTTCCAGGGTTACCTCAGCAAGAGCTGGGCATTCATAAGGACTCAGGAGCAGGCTTCTGGGGCAGATGCAAACAACTGCAATTTCTAGATTGGTAAGTAAAAGATGTGTGTGTATATGTGGGGGGCGGGTGGAGAAAGAGAGGAGAGAGAGAGTCAGAAGGGGGGAGGGAGTTAATACGTATGTTCAGAATTTTCTCTGAGGATTAATAAGTAGACTATCATCTGAACAGAACGAGCAGGAGAAAACCCAGTTTCATTCAGGAAATGCATAAACTGTGCCAAGAATTACAAACATGCATAACTATAATAAGAGACACTTTAAAGTGTAAAAATTTGAAAATACAGACAAAATAGTGATGTATAAAAAATACCTTACTAGAATTTTTTTAAGAGGCCATTTTTAAACAACGGAATCCAACAACTTTTAATGG